AAAATAAACAACAATCCCGCAACAGAGGAGAGACGAGGATTCTTCGGATCGGTTGCTGGCTGTCGCAAATTTCCTGGGGGAACTCAGAATGAACTCGAATTATTTTCGGGGAATCAGTTCAACTTTGATTCAGATTCGCTGTAGACACCTATTCCCAAGTGACACAAGATATTCCAGAAACGTTTAGGAAACATTGGTGAACGATATTGCTTCAATATGTAAATGTCTGAAACATCGACGTTGCTCGAAGGTTGCAAAAGAACATTGGATTGAATTCATTCATCATTAGATACTATATACTCAAATTCATTAACCAGTCATGACCGAGACATTCCTATGAACACGATTTACTTGTATGACCTTGTATGACCTTGTATGACCCCTGTCCATTCCCGATAGAGTCGGTAACGTGGATCGGCATGAGATATGTAGAACATTTTGGGAGTTGATCTTTCCTGAATGTACTAAATAAAATATTCAATATATTATAGGAAATGGTTTTTCAAGTTGTATGGAGAGTCCGCGAATTTTCTACATTCATTTCCTCGTCTTGCTCTCAGAGTCAAGAAATGCTGGAGAGAATTGCCGAAGTCTTAAAGAGTTCTAAAACTAAGTCGACTTGGTAAATAGCTTAAGTATCTCGACTTGGGTAAAAGTCCTTGTCGGGAATGTGAGCTTGTTTATGGTCTTGGCTCCATGAATCTGTCTCGAATAAGGGAATAACAAATGCCGAAGTGTCCGTCGGTTCCTGAAAAGAGACTCGGTGAGACAAGTAGACGAAGTACTAAACACCCCCGTGAAGGACGATTCCAGGGAAAGGGAGAAGAACACTTTTGTGTATTGTGCGGAAAGCGAGACCCACACCTCCATCTAGTGGCTCGGAGGAGAACTTCAACATTTCCGAGTAACTTTTAAGTGCAACTTGGGCTCGTTGGATCATCGCATCAGACCCGATGTTGGGTCGATAATGGAATCGTAATATTAGGGAATATATATGGGAATTTGAATAATTTTGGAGAAATTGGAATAATCGATATGATGATGGAATAATGGGTAACTGGTTCCGGAAGAATTCCAATAAGCGGAGTCGGTTGCACATTCAGAGAATCGTCGCATATCGAAGTTCCACAGAAGAATTGTATTAAAATGTTGTCGCCACGTAGTCGATGTCAACAGTGTCGACATTCCATCAGTGTCGATAGCAAATATTGCAATAGCATTTGTAGAAGTGTCACGGCAACATTCCAAGTGCTCAAAAGCGCCCTGAACGTTGAAACAATGTTGCATCGACGTTGTTCATCTATTGTTTCCCTTGCCCTTATGCAAGCCTCCACTACATTAATAATTTTGGTTTCACCACGGAGAACTCCATAGGAGTTCGGGGACACTTCTCATCTTTCTGCTGCGCTTGTCCAACCTTCGTCTCCTGTCCCTTGGCGGAGTGAGGGGGGTTTAGGGAGAGAGGAGTTCTACCCCCTCCCCCCTTTTTTTTTGGGGGGGGGTTTGCTCTTTTGAGTGAAAAAAAACTAGAGCACCAGCCCAGGTACAGATCTGGCTTTTCACTGGCCTCTGTACCACTGGATTTATTATATATATTCACCGCATCCTAACCATCCAATTTAATTATAAATAATTGGTTCGGCGTAGCCCTATTTGAAAGGCCTGGACAACTAGACATGTTCTCGATGGTCCGCGCGTCCGCGTCGCGTGGAGATGGGAGGACAGTATGAAGTGTAGGATGCCGGATACGCCATTTCACGCGTACGCCTAACAACCCTGTCTATGCGGACTGGAGCAGCCGCTCTCCTCCATTGTCTATTATGAATCCGTCAACTGACAGGGCTGGAAGGGAAGTGGATGTTTTCCTGGAAGACAGGCACCTCCAAAGACCTTATACTAGCAAGGGACACTACCCAAGTGATAATTTCAGATTTTCACCAAACTTTGGTCATTGAAAGGACTCTCAAAACGAAATCAAACGGCACCAAAACTTGCGACTGAGAAACAGGTTTAAGCTCAAACGTTCTCGGCAATAGATGCAATTACCATTGTGATTCAGCGATCATTCATGAAAATACTGCAGTTCGTAAATTAACAAAAAACAAACCTTTCCTTGCTACATAGGTAGCCTACGTAGCATGCATTGTCTTGCAATTCTGTCTGAATTCAAGAATCGTAGCACCCCCCCCCCCCCCCTCCCCGGGAGACCCTCCCTGGGGAGGAGGACCTAACTCCAGACCACATGCACGCTTCCGCTGATGAATTGAGTTTTTTTTTGTAACCGATACAACAGTTTCCAAAAGACTTCGTACCACCTTTCACTTGAGCCCCCGGAAGCCTAATTCAAGCATAGGAAATACACCCTCACCTCACTGAATGCGCAATAGAAATAGAATCAGACTTCGGGCGCGAATTCATTCAAAAGACGCTCTGCTCCAGGAAACGTTGACGTTAGTTCGAGGACCAACCACCGGGGCATAGACCGCCATTGCAGTTACCCTGCTTTCGCAGTGTCCAGTCTTCTTAGTATAAGGTCTTTGGGCACTCCGACCCAGGCGGAAAGCTGCGCGTGCGCATTGGATCATGTTGTCCAGTCTATGGTTACTGGAGACAGACGGAATAAAAATTTAAAAAAATTGGAAAAAAGAAAAAAAGTGACAGACCGCCCGCAATATCTGGCATTTCCCCATAGTACTTATGGAAATGCCAGATAAAAAGTTGGGGACATCTGAGCTCTTGCTCAGCTCTTGGCTTCCATTTGTTGAGGCTACCAAGAGCATAGCTGAGAGCTATGCTCTTGGTAGCCTCAACAAATGGAATTCTGAATCTCCGATTATATCCCTGCACCTCTTGCGACTCTCCCCCAACACGAGTCAGACGGTCGAAGCCCTTCATCCCTGTGCCTTTTGCCGGTCCTGTGGCTCTGGTTCTGTTATCGTGGACTGGGAACACTTGAGGAGTGTGGCTAGGCACTCTCTTGGTCAGCTAAGTTGCCGGGCTCATCGTCGGCGGGATGTCGCTACACACGCAAGTGTACCAACTTGTTTTCCTTATTCCACGCTGTTAAGGATGCAGGGAGGGGAGCTAGGAATTCTCGACCGGGGTTCCCGTCGAGAACCTGGACCCGCAAAGATCCCGAACTCGGTAAAGCACAACCCTTCCTGCATCATCACGTCGAATGGTCTGAGCGGAGGAGTGGACGGTGTAGTCTTGCCCCCTTTCCCCCAAGAAAAGCACTGGGCTGACAAGTCCACAAACGTCCTACGGGTCTCTTCGTGTGCCTGCCCACTCTGTCGTCATCCGACTCCGTATTCTACCTCTATCGATACCTGTCTCTCATCGTTCCGTCATGCCCTGTCTGGGCCAGCGTCAGCTCAATCCTCTCCAGCTTTTTCTCGAACAGCGACCTTCGTTTTTCTAAGGACAACCTCTATACTCAACACAAAACTGCATTATTTCGTATTTCAACAAGTTTCATTTTACCAAAGAGACTAATAGGACCACGTTTTTTTCCTATCACAGTGTGAAAACAGATTTTTATTCTCGCTAAAAAATGTTCCATATCGTCACACTAGTTCGCGAAGAACGACGTGACACATGAGAACGAACTGGAAGCCACCATAAAGGCGTACGTGCAATACTAGATTACATTCAACAAAAAAACAGGAAAGGAAGAGAGAATGTACATGTAACACAGCTATAACTGAATTATGAACAAGATCCTTCGCTGGGTGAGTGCTGCAGAGTGTGATCACAGTCATCATGCCCTCATTGAGTTGTTCCCTGGAATGGGGTTACTCTGAGTTTCCTGATTTTCAGAAACTTGGAGTTCTGAGGCATTAGTTTTTTTGGGAATTGACTCGGCTGGAGGCGGGCTTCTCTTCTCCTCAACACCAGATGATGAGCGTACACCGACATGAAGCAGTAAAAGACAAAACCTTGGGAGAAAAAAGTAATGCAATGAGGCAACAGCGTGATCGTCGTCGTCGAGTGTGACAACACAATCGATAATCGGGATCGGATAATCGGGGAGGAGGGGTACGAATTACGCAATGCCGCAGGATTGAAATTTTAGAGGAATAGGCCATAAATATTGATGTACCAGGCTGGAGGAAATTTCCCGGAAATAATCGATCATGGGCCAGAGGACGTCCTTGGAGGGAGTCTACCCCTGTGCACGCACTAATGCAATAGTAACCACGAGGATCGGTCACATTACTAATTGATTAATGAGGGAGCGTCCGCTAGAATCAAGATCAGTGATATCCCATGCGTTTGGAATCGGGCATATACTTAAAGAATCTACTTGCAAGAGATTCGTGACTATTTAAACAGAAAATGAGTAAAGATGACAGGAATCTACGTGTCTAGCGAGACATCGATCACGGATTCGATAAATATTTCACGCAGAATCACCCTGAACTTCCTGCTTCCCTATGGCCTATCACGCTTCAATCCCCCTGAGATGTTACATAATCATGTCACTCGACCAGGGGCGGATCCAGGGGGGCGACTGCCCCCCATACGGCCAGGTTATCAATAATTTGTCCCCATTCTTTTTTTAAATTTAGAATAGCTTCTATATTAATTCTTATTGGGGTCAGTGAAATAGATATTCAAGTTTTTACACCAGACGGGAAATGAAAAAGGCGATAGAGCTGATAGTGGTGGAGGGCGGGGGGGAAAGGGGGATTAGTAGGAAGTAGGGAACTGCTCCCCCTATGAAAAATTTCTGTATCCGCCTCAGCACTTGACACGCTACGCGCATTACAAGAGGAAAAGAGATTCGTAAAGAATTCGTCCCCTGAGATTTTTTTCGCTGCAGTGGAAACTTCATGTTTAAATTTTTTACATCTAATGTTAGCTATCTGCCATTCCCCGTATACAATCCAATGAAATTTTTTTCCGTGAACGAGGAATTCTTTTTTCCTCGCGTAAGTGCAAAACCTTTTGAAAGATTCCTCTCGTCTATAAATCGCCCTCCGGCTATGTACTACTGGTCAGAAGAAAAAGGCATACTCACAAATAATGAGCCAAAACAGGGCGCAGAGGCTTCCCCAGAATGAGGCTTCTTGACTATTCTCGGTCTTGGCGACGACGAGGTAAATGTTATAAATCCCAAAAGCCACCATGCACAGCATCAAAAATCCCGTCTTCAACATCCATGGCACGTAGTACACCTTCTTGTTCTGCAGGAAAAGAGTGAATTGATCTGAGTGAATTGATCCCGAGTTATATCTCAATAAAATTGCACACGAGAAGGCGAAGACGTACGTAGTAGGCGCCGTACAGGAGAATGATGGCCATGAGCAGATTCAAGCTGGAATCCACGATCAACGAGATCAGGATCGCCGACCAATCTGAAAAAAAAAGAGGAAAAGCCATGAAAATTTTACTCGAACTAGTTAAATGAAAGGGGAGAGAGGATGAGTCAGACCCATCCATTTTGTAAGAGGGAAGGACGGGATTCTGCACGTAAAGGTCATATGCCGTGACATTTCTCCTCTATGGCCTAGCGTTACGCCCTGAATTCAATAAATGTTGGGCGAGTACAAATTATATGGATTGGATTCACCTTGCTTCCTTCGTCCTCAAAGAAAAAAAAAACAGACAGAGGACCTACGTTCGCGCGATTTGGTCGAGAGAGCACCTGATAGGTAAATCGAATCACCGATATCCGTGATGCAAAGTAACCCTCAGCCCACCCCAATCCTTACGACAGCCGCCGTTGAATTCACGGTCTTGCCCTACCTCCCAATTGTCATGAAACAAATAACTTACTCGTAATGGACATTCATTTCCAATTCCTTCTTAGAACCTGAAGGATCTCCAATTGTTGGCAAGCTGTATTCATGTGGCAACTACGAATTCCTCGTGGACCCTGTCCGTCTAATTCAGAATCCTTCTCCATCGTGAACTTGACTTCGTCACGTGTCGAGAAAACCGTACCCACGGAGACAGGGATGAGAGAGAGAACCCAGTGAAATTCCTCGGGAGAGAGACAATATCGCATGGAATCCTTCCACAAATATTGCCAGTTTCGAATCCCTCATTACCTAGCAGTCCGGGCCAGCGAGATCCACAGCAGCTGCCTGGGCGGCCTCACAGAGGGAGCCGTTTTCGGCCTTTTCGCCGCCGGGGTCCTCGTCCTCCTTCTCGACTGGAAGGACAGTTACTGGACTCGCAAGAGAAGACCTCGGCAGACGAAACGAAACGAGGTGAGTGCTTCTTCCTTCTTTGACAAAGAAATACTTGAGTCTCACGGTGATGCTTCGGAACTAGGCCGAGGATCTACTCACAGCGACACCGACGGAAAATGAGCAGCTGCAAAGAATCTCAGCAAGCTTACTGAAGGATGCAGCCAAAGATAAAGAGCACATAGAAAAAAAGGAAGGTTCTCGAAACCGGGAACAGGATCTAACCGAAGAACTTTCGCCGTCATTTGGAAGATCCAACGGAATTCACCTCAAAGGAGCTGGACTTGGGTATGCCCGACAGGGAAGTCTCATCAGAGCCGCTCTCCCAAAGAGAGAAGCCAGGGAGAAGCCAAGACCGATTCCCGGAGAAAGCGAAAAGCCTTTCACGTACTCTGACAGCTTGCAGACTGCGCAATGGAAGGAACGTACCCAGGGAATATTTTCGACTGATAAAATGCTGGCTCTCGGAGACGACTGCAGAAGATCAGAAGAGAAACGCGGCATTAGTTCGGAGGATTTTGTATCCTCGGCCACGACTGTGATCGAAGGCTTGACGGTTAAATCTGGTTCAGATGAGAAGGAAAGGAACAAAGAAATCCCTGCATCCTTTCACAGCGTCGACTCGGGGAGACAGAAACCAAAAGGGAAAAGCGAAACCGCCGCAGAGGAAACGGAGTCTTCGACAATCGCTGAAAGTTCTAAGACCGACTCTAGTCCAAACGAGAAGAAATATTGCCAAGAAGCCAAGACCGAAAAGCCTACGGACACGACAAGACAGGTATCGAAGAATAAGTCCGTGGGTACTCCTCGATTGACGGGGTCCTCGATTGACATTTTATCCTTGATTTCGAGAGATTATGCAGCTGCCAAAAGAATAATGTTCGAGGACAGAAAACGCAAGATTAAGCCACTTGCTCTCAACACTGAAGAGGGGGGATATGGAACAGAGATACAGGAAACCGCAGGCATAGGGTTTATGTTAGCTTCTAAAGAGTCCCTTCCTAGAGGGCAAAACTCAAATTCGAAGAGCCATGAAGGTACAGACACAGGGATCTCTTCGGTTACCCAAAGTTCCTTAAACAGAAAACAGGAACAGGAGTCGGAGACACAGAAACTGAAAGACGCGGAAGGGCCGACACCAGCTTCAGATGCGACATCAGAGGTCTTAGTTCGAAGCAGTTTCTTACTGGTTGAAGATACGCACAAAGTGCAGGGAGAAAAAGAGGAGCCCGAGTCGATCATTAATAAAACAAGACCAGAATCTCTGGCAAATCTAGAAGATAAATTGTCCAATATATATTTTGATGAGACAAAAGAAGAGCATTGTCTTAAACCCCCTTCGGTACCACGAGAGTTGCCTGCAAAGACAGCGGGAGTGAAAAGCTCCTTTAAAGCTGAGAAAAACTCTCTGAAGACAGGCAGCCGGGAAAAGAATGACCATGAAGGAAAGTTGGGAAAATGGCCTGAACAGACAGGAAAGATGTCCAAGAATGAAGACGTATCGCCTATGGCAGACATCCTTCAGCAACCTCGAGAGGTTTTCAGACTCGTGAAAAAGTCGGACTCACCAACACTCGAGCAACAGATAGGACCAATAACTAAAGAAACAGGGAGAAAAACTACTTCGGGCAAGGAATGGGATGTGGGCGAGGAAGAAAAGAGCATAAACATGTCAGAGGCTCCCGAGCTGATGCTAACAGAGAACGAGAGTGCATTTACTTCATCCGCGGTCTCGATCCCTCTCCTGACCCTGTCCATTCCTTCCCAGTCTAAAGTGCAAACAGGAAAAGTAGGAGAGAAGACAGTGATTGGGAATCCAAACGGCAACCTGGGACCTGGGAAACAGGGATGGGAAACTGGGAAGTGCTCATCATTAGATGAGGAAAGTTCGCCTTCGAACAGGTCCTCGAGTTCACCACAAGTCCAAAAATCAACACCTGCCAGTAAGATCCACATCGATTCGGACAAGTACGGGAAAGATGAAGGAGCTCCCAGTTGGAAACTGGTGACACCCACCCCCATCAAGGCCACGAATTTCAGGGAAGGTCTGAGGATCTTCAGCAACAAACCCGACCCTAGTTTCAGCCATGCCGTCCTCTATTGCATCCTGCATAACCCCTTCCTCAAACATTACATCCAAAACGGACATTCGGAGAAGTTTTACGGAAGAAACGAAGCCAAGCCATCCGAAGTGAGCCGGGCTCTAGGAAGACTGTTCCGAAAGTTCTGGGACGAGGCCATTTTCGGAGCAGTGGACAGCCACCACGTGGACACGAGCGTCTGCGAGGCTGCCGTTCGAATGCAGGCTAAGAAAGTGGAAAACCCTGTGGATTACCTCACCCAAGTCTTCCTTTCCCTGATTGAAGGACCATTCCTACCCAAGGTTCACCCCGGATTTCCCAAGAGAGGTCCACCGAACCAATTCCGGAAGCACTTCCTGGAAGCTGCACCAATGTCAGTGACCTGTAACGGATGCCTGGCCCGAATCAACATGCAGTCAGCGAATCTCATCACGTTCCCTTCTAATTGTATCTGGCCGGAAGACTCGCAGGAACCCGAACGAGAACCGCGAACGGACCGGCAAGCCAACTGCACTCACAAATCACTTAAGACCGGACAGAGAATGGTCCAGATGCCGATCTGTATCTGCTTCCTTCTCCCCGGGTACAAGAGCCCCCAGTTCCCAATCACCCACGAGGTGACCCTGCACGAACCCCCGACGACCCAAGTCTTCCATCTCCTTGCCGCCATCCACATAGCAGGCGAGAGCAAGCTGGCTTATTTCAAGCATTCCCAAGAATCCGCCTGGCTTCAGTTCAAGAACGGGATCGTGTCAGAGATCGGACGGGGCCCGATACAAATCCCCCCACTGGAAGGGGTCGAAAACTTTCTCCTACTGTACCTCAACATAAACTGGAAATAGTGCCTCACCTAGAGAGAAATCGTTTCACTGAATTGTCTTTATTTTTCTACAAATTGGACCTTCGCATTTCCATATTACTTTTATCCATTAAAAAATCCAGGGATGTCGAGAATTCATTTGAAGTATGGTGAAGGCGCGTATGGATTTGAACGTCAGTGTATTTGGCATTTGGCACTTGGGCAGCGCTTGGGTAAACAAATTTTACTAATTTGTATTTAGTAAGGACTTTCACTAGTCCCGGCATTACTTTGCTCCTCAATGTTACCCATAAGCTAAGTACTTGTTGATAGGTTACTTAACTGTAGCGATGGGTATGTTCTAAACTAAAACCTTATTAGCTGATGGATTTTCGATCGAATGCTTGCCATTAAATTATGCACATGCATTTCATAAAGTCGGTTATTCCACTGATTTTGACATCTATATCACGAATACCTCATGCTATTATTTCTCGTTTTGCACCGAAACCCACGCAGCCAAGCATGCTTCCACTTTGGATGAGGAATAAACAGACAATTGACGTGAGAGAATGGGATATAGGCAGCAAAAGGAGTCGATGAAGTAACAGGTAAACTCGAAGCAATAGGAATGAGCCAGATCATGCCGGGGGAAAAAATATCCTTTAAAAAATAAAGAAAACTTACAAGCATATCTTCAATATCTTAAAATCATGTTATGGGAAGGGCACTATTACATTGAGGAAGACGCAACACACGATAATGAATTCAAGGTTGAAGGTAGGAACGTGGAGAGGCACTTGAGACCGCTGTGACGTCAAGAGCCAAGGTCGAGCTTTCATCGAGAATACAATAGGCTCCTCTTAAAGAGAGATATTATTGTGATGCATATCTACCTACCGCCTTCTTTACCTATAACTGCATAGCTCCCTTTGTTTGCTTTGTCTGCGACGGCATTCTAATCAAGGAAGGGGCAGATATCATCACTTAATATATTCATACAAGCAAAGAAGTGATTCCGCAACCCGAGTTTCACTTCGACTTTCCGCAAATTTCACTGGTTCCCTCTCGCCTGCTGTTACCTTTTGGAGTCGGGAAGATATACCATGTTATCCACGTTATCTACTCCACGTTATCGATTCCCTTAATGACCTGGGGAACCCGGATCAAGCCCCTCCTGAGTAATTTTCTGGGTCCGATTCCTAACCTCCTGATGAGCTACCTGTTCATTGGAAATGAGTGAGGAATGCTTCCAGAATCGTTGATTTCGATAGGTCAGTGTACTTGTGATTTCACTCAAGTCCATTTGCAAAAAAAAACTTGTATTTACATAAAAAAAGCATAAATATACTTGTACGCAAATA